TCCAACCATGGATAATTATCAAACCACTCAGGATCAATAGCTTTTCTAACATGTGGTTTTTTAAGCTCTTCATCATCAGACAAATCAATGACCATAGGAAAATTTGACATTTTAAAGTATTTGAAAGAATTAATTTGGTAAAAAATTTTAACAACAATTTATTCCTGAATGATATTAATTTTTAATTTAATTTGTGTAAATAATCAGCACAAAAAAATAATAAATATAATAAATATTTCGTGCACATGGAAATTTGGTGTAACGTGATACCCCCGATTGAATTTTCAACACTGATCTGCGCTAATGATTTCATAATTTTTAGCCAAAAATACGCCAAATTTTGGTAAATTTCATAAACTTTAAATGAATAGAACTCGTGATCCAATAAATATTTGAAGAAGGGTTCTATTGGCTCCTTTGAACTTTCATTTAATAGAGAGTTTAAATTTGGACCACTAGTTTGTGAGTTCTATACTTTTTAGAAAGGTGATAAAAAGTTGTGATTTATAGAAATGATAAAAATAAAAGAAAATTTCAAATGTGTTCCACCATGGTAACGCGACATGTCAACTAGAGAAAGGTTTTTGGAGGACCATGAAGATAGAATTAATTTTACAATTTTGACCAATTTGATCTCTATATAAAGGCATGCTTGTAGAGGAGGTGGTAAGATGAAGAAACGTCATAGAAGGTATTGCACTGTTGGAATGACTAATTAATATTGATCCCTCACAAGCTTCTGTGACGTTTTCAACAGGCTATACTTGTGCAATTTCATAGAATTATCAATGAAGAGATCGTTAGTGTCAAAGTACATGGTTCTGTTGAATGTATCAATCCATCCATCGTCATGTATTTTATTCAAGTGTGGCTACGTTATAAATCCTCGGGATCCTAATTCAGAAACTGCCATTGTTATTGCTGGTGCATCAAGATTGTTCTTGACTCCTCATTCCACTTTCCACTTTACCATCCTTCTCCCAAGAACTTACATACTGGACAATAACACTACTCTCAATATCAAAATCCAATGGAGTCTATCTCTCTCTCCTGGTCAGGGAGATTTAACAAAACAATTGGTCATTCATTATATGATGCTCCACTTGTTAAAGCACTAGCTTGAAAAATATTGCCCAATTAATTAAAAAATCTTTTTATTAATCAAGAAGAACAACTGATAATTCATTATTTTGATAAGTGTTACAAATAAAAGCTAAACCACCACAAAAAAAAAAAAAAAATTAAAAAAAAATATCATAAATATAAAATAATAATAAACAGGAAAAAAAAATTCATATCTATATATAATATATAAACTTTATAAAATAAAGAAAATTTTTTTATTAGCTATATATATAGTAAAATAATAATTGATAATTTTGATTTTTTTTAAAAGAGAAATAAAAGAAATAAAAATATATATATTCTATAATTTTTTTGTCAAATCAATGATGGGTGATGGATAATATAATAGAAATAGCAGCAAATAGATGATGGTGAATAATTAATAGATTGAAGAATGGATTGAAGAATGGATTTGAAGAATGGATTGAAGATGATAGTAAAAAAAAATTATAGTTTTTGTGGTATATGTGTAATATGATATGTATATATATAGTGTATTTATAAATTGTAGTTGCAGTTGATTGTAAAAAAAAAAAAAAAAAAGCCTTAATAATAATAAAGGAAAATAATAGAATTTTTTTTTTTTTTGATTTCTAGCTATTATGAAAAATTATATTATATTAGCAACAATTCATTAAAAATTAAAAAAGAAAAAAAAAAAAAGAAAAATTAATAATAATAAAATTATATTATTATTATTACTATATTACTAATATATTAATTCTAAGTACTAAAAATATAATAATAATTTTTTTTTTTGATTTTTAATTTTGAATTTCTTTCTGCTGATTTTTTTAAAGTTTTTGAATTTTTGAAATGAAAATTAAATAGAATAGAATAAATTCAATTTATTTTCTTATATATAATAAAAAATATATAAAAATATTTTTGTTGAAGAAACTTTTTACTTAGAAATGATTTATTTAAGTGGTAATTTCGATATTTTCATTATTGATCTCTTCGTTGATTGTTACTGGTAATGGTGATGATGGTGATAATGACGGCGATGATATATTAATGTTATAATCATTAGCTATATAAGTGCCATTATTATTGTCATTGCCATTATTTTTGTTACTGGTGCTGTTTATTAGTTCGCCATTTACATTATTTTTTAATGCGATATTATCACCATGTAGATCACTGTAATTGTCGTAAGGAATGACGTTGATATTATTTTGGGGATCGTTGTTGATAACTGGTGATTTTGATTGGTCGATTTCATAATCATTATTAATATTGTTACTGGTGCTACTATTGCTACTGTTTATAGTATTGTTGCTGTCGTTACTTCCATTACTGCTACTGCAACTGTTATTATCATTAGTATCATTAATATTGTTTTCGGTTGTTAGATTATCTCCCTAAAAATGAAAGATTTTAATTAAAAATTTTTCATTATGAAGAAAGTTAAAAATATCAATTAAAAGTACGAACTTGTTTAGGCAATAACCAGAATCCCCATTCGTCACGTTTTCTAACTTTATCACCTTTAACTTCAACTATATGACTGTTAAGAAGTGCCTTGAAATTGTGTAAAAAAATTTTAGAAATACAAATATATATTATTATTTATTATTAAAAAAAATTACAAAACATACTTCACGAATGATTTCTTCCTCCAACGTTAAAGCTTTCACGCGATTGAAACCTGCTAATAATGATATATCTACATAACCTTCAGAATCCATCTATAAATAGAAAAATTTTTTTTTTGATTAAGTCATTAATAAAATACAATCATATGTTAATTAGAAATATAATAAATTATAATAATAATGAAAATTTACATTATTTCGTAAATAAATGTCTTTACATAGATTTTCAATACTAAAGTAGTACTCGCTATGAACCATACATGCAAAAAATAAATATTTAATATCGTTAATATATATATATATATATAATATTTAAATAATAATTTATATTATCAAAATATCATATGAAAATCACACACATTTGTTGTAAGACATAAAATTTTAAGATTTCAATATCATATATTACGCCAATCTTTGTTCCATAAAAATTTCCGTAATTTTGATGATTATAGATTGGCGTGGTGTATGAAAATGATGCTGATCGAGAAATTCCCCGTTGGCCATTATATGAACGACCTCTTCCACCCCTTCTAGAACCGCGATAGGAACTACTACCATTATAAGATATATGATTACCATTTTGATTGTTTTCGTTGTAATTAAAATAACGACGGCCATTTTCTCTTAATGGAGGTGGCACGCTGGCACGACGTTTACTCTGGTTATTGTTAGTATTATTCTGACTACTGGTACTGCTGCTGCTACTGCTGCTACCATTACCGTTACTATTATTAATATGTTGTGGTTGCTGCTGCTGTAGGCTTTGTTGATTTTGATAGTATTGACTTTGATTTTGATGTTGTTGGTAATGTGGAGACGAAGATGAAGAAGATTGGTATCTTGCTTCAGGGCTTGGAGTCTTTTCGCTTGATCTGCGATCCCTGTAACCAGCATGATCTTCACTTCGACGTCTTGTTTTTGGTCTATCATGACCAGGTAAAGGCGGATTATGGGTGATAGTTAGTTCTTCGTAAGGAATCCATTTGCCTTTACCTACATACCATTTGTTGAGTAAAATTTTAAATTAATTAAAAAGAAAAAAAATGCTAATAATGGATGCTGAAGATGAAGAGAAAGGGTGAGGAGGAAAAGAGATAAAAAACCTTTTTTAGGACTTTCTTCTTTCTTTAATCCTAATTCATTTGGTAAAGATTGTTTTTTCTCAGAAGATTCACTATTGACTTCTTTTTCCTTGTCTTTAATTAGGACTTCGGCAGGAGCAGGCCAACTATTTTGATCCTCTAGTGGAGGTATTATGGGAGCAGGAGTAGGCTGTGATAATGGTTTACTCCTCCTAGGATCTTTTTTATAATATCTTCTGGAATCTTTTTTTTTTTTTTCCGAAAACAAAAATGGTAATAAATGAAAGATTAACAACAATGTGCATTTCGTTATAAAGGGAATGAATCAGAATGACATTTACATACCTTCAGGAGAACTATTTTGTGAAAAGTAGTTTGGTTTATCAGACCTTTTATAATTATAATAATAATTGTAATTGTTATTATAATTGCCATTGTAATTGATTCCATTATTAATATTGTTATGGCTATAAACATAATTTCCATTATTTCCATTATTAATATTGGTATCCTTATTTCCATTAAGCAATTCTGGAGCTTTTTTGGAATTCATCGCTTCTTGTCTAACTTGCCATACATTAAAAGTAGGCTGTGTAGGTGTAGATGATGGAGTTTTCCTTGTTGAAGTGTCGCTCCCTGGTGAAGAGGTGGTTTTATTTTCATCATAATTATTATCAATTTGCTTTTCGTCGTTATTAATAGTATTAATACTAAGTTTACCATTATTATTTTTTTCATTATTAATGTTATTATCATCAATGATACTAGAACTACTAGAACTACTAGTATAACCATTATTGATATTATTAGACTCTTCCAAGGTTGAAATGACTGGCATTGTAGTAGTAGTAGTTGTTGTTGTTGTGGTCGTTGTTGTCGTTGCTGAATCATCAGTAGTTTTCAATTTATTGCTTGAAGCCTTGATCAGATTAACGTTACCAACATTTGAACCAACAATGTTACTTGAATCAGGTTGAGCAGTTGAAGGACTAACCATTTTTTTTTTTGTTCTTTTATCTTCTTTTTTTAAATGAAAGGTATATAATATACTAATTAAAGATATATATATATAAATATATACGTATACACTGTTATATTTAAAAAACTAACTAATTAAAATTACACGTTAGAATTTAAAAGGTTATAATATTGGATCAAATAGAAAGTGTTACAATAGAAAGCAAAGAGGAAGAGTGTTGAAGAAAAAAGAGAAAAAGAAAAAGAAAAAGAAAAAATTTTTTAGAAGAAAAAAAAATTTTTTTTTTATCAATAAGAATTAAAAAAAATTTTTAATAATAATAATTATAAATTATTTATTTATATGATTATTAATTAATTAATAAACTTGACTTGCTAAAAAATATATATATATATAAAAAAAATATACAAAGTAAAAATTATAAAAGCAACTCCTCTTTCTTTCCCAAGGATTTAAAAATAAAATAAAAATAAAAAAGTTACCGCGTTAAAAAAAAGTAAAGTTTTTTTTTTAATTATTTAAAAAGAGAAAAATCTTTTTATAAGGCGAAGTAATGAAACCCCTCTAAGCTGTTAGTTTACTATGACTTTATTATAGTACAAAAAGAGGAAGAAAAGAGAGATGTTTTGCTCAGCCAACGTCGTCACAACAACTAAACCCCAGTTTAAGAATAATTACAATAACCAGAATAATCAGATACGTACGTAAAAGAAGAATAAATAAAAATTAAAAAAAATTTTTTTAATCAAAAAAAAAAAAATAAAAGCTTTTATGTAAAATATAATCGCCTCACACACACACACACACACACACCAATTGCACTACTGACTAATTGACCGACTCACTTTACCCACTACTAAACTAATTTATTATTGTTTATTATGATGATTATATGATGACGATGAATGATGATGACGTTTGCTGATGTTGAGAAAAGTTAGTATAAAGTGCGTGTTGATATAATATATAATTAGTAAGTGGTATGTTGTAATATATTAATTAGGTTATTGCCACTATATTTTAATACTAATCTTAACTCTTTTCAGATTAATACGTGTGATACGTGGCGAAGTTGGCAAAATCTTTTTTTTAATATAAATGATGTTGATATTTTAACCAATCAGTACATTGCATCCAATCGCATTTTTTTTTTAGCATCAATTTATTATAATATCGTGGTGTGTTAATTAGTCAGTGTTGTTAACTATCACTTTGCCAACATATAATAATTTTGTCTTAGAATTTAAATAAATAGTTATTATTATTATTATTAAATTATATAATCATCAAAATAATAATTGCTATTCCGATAGATCCCGGGTTAAGAAGAAGATTCTAATTGATACTCGCACTGTTTGAGTCACACAAATAAATCATTATATCTTAAAACCATCTAGGGATCTGAAAATTTTTTCAAGATTAAATAACAAGCTTTTTTGGAAAAAATTAAAAGTTTGGTTAAAAAGTTTAAACTATAATTATTTTCCCTCAATCTCCCAAATTAATCACCACAATAATATATTTATAAGTAAGTATGGGATGTGGATATTAATATAATTGCAATTTAAAATTTTAAACATTTACTAAATCTCAAAAAAAAAATTTTTTTATTAAAAATCACAAGCATTTTACAACAATCAATTGATTAATTAATTTCTTAAATCAACAAATAAATCATCATCAGTTTTTTAAAGTTTACTTAATTACTACTTTTGATTGGTGGCTTCTTTCTTAAAAAGATATGATGGATAATTTAGGGTTTACCTGAGATTTTTATAGACCCCACCCCCACAAGAACTTCTGATGTAATTTCATCACGAGATCGACCGTATACAATGTACTCGCTCATTCAAATGTATTAATATTTATTATACAACATTTTATAGTTAATATCCTTCTGAGTGCAACTATACGAATCGTGTTATTATTATGCAAATGACAACCTTTACGGAAAAATTTTATATAATATACAGCAGACACATGTGAATGAATCAGGAGAATATAAAAATGCAAAAAAATAATCACAAAAATCAGTATGGTACCGATCATCCAAAGTCATCAAAAAAATAAACCGATAAATTGAGAAATACTCTTTCAATTTATCGGTTTTACCTTTTGTGTTGACAAGTTTAAAAATGGGCATTTTGCAAAATTTTACAGTAAACAAACTTGTTATTTGTCCAATAGGAATACTCGGTTTTTTGTGACACATAATATTTAACACGGCGCGTCTTGTAAAAAAAATCAAAAATAGAAGCAAGTAATTCTTAAACACTTATGGGTAATGATATAAAAGAAGTTAAGCTAAAAGAAGATGAATGGGACAATGATGAATATAATGGATATAATGGATGGGAAAGTAATTTAGATTTAGAACGAGGGAAAGAATGTAAGGATAGGCAATTAGTTTAAAACTTGGATTTATTTGCGCTGAAAATAATGAATTGGAAAAAAAGAAAAGTGGCTTGCTTATATATGAAAAGTAAAATTTCAAATATGGGGCATACTGCAATAAAACCAGACAAAGTGAATATTGGTATTACCAAGGATTTCAGGGATCAATAATGTTTGTCTAACATCACAACTGTATTCTTATTTGATTAGACATTTTGTTCCTTGTAGGAAGACCATTAACAAAGTATTAATGATAATTAATTAAATGAATAATAATATAATAAATTGTCAAGAAAACAAGAATACTGTTGAAATCATGTGACCACGTGACTTAAAAGCAATGGTAAAAGCATTTCATATTAAAATTAATTTTTATTATCACAGAAGGAATTTACATAATAATAATTTTTAATACAGCAATAAAATGAAAAGACATTACAATAAGGAAATATATTAATCAATTTTAATAAATTTTTATTTGCCAAATCCATAACAAAGTTTTCCTTGTCTCTTCAATGCGTAAACTGTTAAAGAAATATATGCAAAAATATAAGCAAAGAGTATACAACGTATATTATACATTATAATAATACATTGTGAACCAACTCACCTACATCCATATATGTGACTGTTCTGCGTTTACCATTCTCCATATAAATGATTGTATCCTAAAAAAAAAAAAATGTAAAATTGTTATCAATGCCTATAAATTATAATGTAATAAATTATTACATACTCTGAGTACATCTTCAAGAAATTTTTTTAACAATCCACGAGTATCTTCATATAACAGACCAGAAATGCGTTTCACCCCACCCCTATGAGCAAGCCTTTTAATTGATGGTTTACACAGTGAGTCTCGGTATAGCGGATAATTTGGGCAATTAGAACAAAAATTTCAAAAATCCGTTATACCGAGATTAATTCAAGATTTAAGTAGTAAATCCGTTAAACCGAGAGAATTTACTTTTAGACGGTTCTGAGCTTTGATCCGTTAAACCGAGAGTTTTATTAGACATCCGCTATACCGAGACTTACTGTGTAGTTATCCCTTTGATAGTATCGCGATAATTGTTTCTAGTTCTTCTTCTTATGTTTTCTTTATTATGATCAAAGATTATATATTGTTTTATTATTGATAATAGAGGAAAAAAACAATAATATTTTTAAAGAATAAAAGATTAATTGATAATAGGTTACATACCTTGTGATGAATTTGGTGGGCCATTACTATTATTAGTATTGACATCACTATTATCGTTATTGTCGTTGTTACTATGATTATTGGTGTCTAGATCTTTAAATCATACGCCAAGATGAGTAATTGGACCTTTTTGCCAAAAAAAATTTTTTTTTTAATAAAAATTAATTTAAAGATAAATAATTATACCATCAATGATTATTTGGCTATCGTCGTTATCAAAATCAATATTATCTTCCAGCTTTTAAAAAAATACATATAAACATGTTAAATTGAAAAAATGTAAAACGATAAACAGAAAAATTGTTTAAAAACTAATGGTCTATAACCTCTATATAGTTGTCATCATCGTATAAAATTTTTAAATGATCAAATATTTCTTTTGTGTTTAGTGGGACTGATGGTGGCTGTGGGTAAAACTTCTTAAGATTATCAACTAATTCTTCTGCATTGAACCATTCGGAAAACTGCTGTCTAAAATATAAAGTATCAAATAAAAATAAATAACACTTACTCTTTAATTTCAACTAGTGGTGGCGATAACCACCACCATTTAATGATAAATGGCACTTGTAATATTCCTCTCGATTGCTGTCTTTTTTCCTAATATTTGGACGATATGACATTTTTTAAAAAAGAAGAGAATTTATACAAAACGCGTTGGGGTATTCGATATTGGTTGATTGACAAATCTAATTAATGTCAATAAGATAAATCTATGTGCGGATTTTTTTTATGGTAAACCCCTTTTTTTTCTGTGTGACAAAAGTTTTTTATTTATGAATTTTGATATATACTATATAAAAATTACACATTTTATTATGTTTCTTGCAAATTTCGGAAACAAAAAGCTCTTGATGATAATACTTTGCCACATTGCAATGATTGCGGTCGAGCTACGAGAAACAGGATAGATTGTTTTTGTGATTTAAGGAAAGGTGAGCCAGTTAAAACCCCAACCATAACAGAAATAATGGCACAGAGTTATGTTGGCAGATTGGAACAGCAGAATAAAGATTTAAAACAACAACTAGCCAGTGCTAAGGAGGAAATCAGTACTCATTTGGAAGTCTTAGAGGTTTCAAAGGATTGACATAATAAGCAAAGGCAAGAATTATTAGATAAAATTAAAAGACTTGAAAGTGAGGTTGAATGATTAATGAAACAACAAGTTGCTCAAATTGAAGTTAAAGAAACAAAGAGATGATCTTGATTGAAAATAAGTAAGTAGTTTAAAGAAATTCTGTATAAATTGAAATTCATTTCAACTATTAAAGAAAATGGTAGTTATTTTCCTTTTAAAGATTTTTGCTTTTTGTTAGGTAACAATGCATCATCATGCTGCTTTCTTTTTCTAACATTTATTATTTTTCTTTCTTCTTGATAAATTTCATAAGTAATCCTTTCTTTTCTTAGATAAGTTTCCAATGTCTGAGTATTATTTATTTTGAAAATGTAAGGAGCAATTTTTTCACCTTGTTCTTTCTTCAAAATACTTCTAATGGTGCTGGAATTTTTGGGTTCCATAGTAGATCTGATATAAATTAGTTTCATATTAACTATTTTTGTCTAGACAAATATCATGATCACATTACATTGGCAATACAATTGTGATGTTAAACAAACACAATTGATCCCTGAAATCTTTGGTAATACCAATGTTCACTTTGTCTGGTTTTGTTGCAGTATGCCCCATATAATAACTGGGCCTGAATGGCTTATCACAAAGGCAACAGCTGGTACAAATAAGGTTAAACCTATTTTAGTTCATAATAATTTATTGGAAATCTTGAGTTAATGGAAAGTTCAAAGTGGATCTGATGATAATATATGGCCTAATTGATGAAAAGTAAATGGATCTAAAAGTTGAATTGGACAAAGGTCATATTATTCTAAAGTGAATTGTTGTGCACAAAAAATTACTACAAAAAGTGCAATTCAGGAGTTGATTTGAAAAGGCTGGGTGCAGGTACATGAAGGATATTAGGGAGCTTGTTAAGTATTATTCTAGAGAAAATTGTGATTACAACTGTTCCTCAAAGTCTGGATTTTGTACTTTAATCAATTAGAAATTTGCAAAAGTTACGTAGAGGGTGGGAATTAATTAGCAGAGTATCAGACGGAATTTAGAGTTTATAATATAAAATGTTTTCACGTGACTTTGTCATGTGAAGATCTTCATTTATTATTCAGTAAATCAGACTAGCTCTAATATTGATAGGGCAGACAGGCTGGATACTGCAATAGTATCTCGGAGGATAGTTTGTATTTAGATTACATTACAATAGACTCCCATTGGCTCAATGATAATATAATATTCTAATAACTGACTGTGAACACAGTGAAGGATTATATTGTGGCGTTGAAAATAGATAATTGTTGGGGCGACTGCAAAGTGGACTTCACGCCACAAATTAAATTTGGCGGTACAAAACTATAAATATGCTAAACGCCATAACAACATAAGATAATTGAAGTCACTAAGCTTATACTTCTGTTTTATTTGGCTTAACTCTATGGCTTTTTCCTTTAAATGATATGTTTTCCCTTAACTTTATTCCGAAGTTCCTGAATAACAATCATTTCCTTTTTTCCTTATCCTCTCATTTAAATTCATTAATTGCTTTTCTTTGTATTATCTTTTTGACTACTAATGTTTTTTCTTTACTTGAAGGGCTTCGCGTCATTATTGTTTGTTTAAAGAGGCTATTTTTTTTTCCTAATCTTTCTTTATTTCAATCCCATCCTTTCAATGAGTTTGGACTTGTAATTTTTGAACCTTGTTTTTTATGGTTCTTGAAGCTTCTACAGTCTTTTTAATAACAAACCCCAGGCTAATTATAATTAAAGAATGTTCTATACTCTAATATTTTTTATTTTTTATTTTCTTCTTTCTAACTTTTCAATAGAAACTTTAAAAAAAATTTGCATTTAAAGGAATTGCTATATACTATTTTTAAAACTTCAAAGGGAAAAATCTCCAAATTTTGCTATGTAAAGTGGTTATGTTTCTAAGCCAAAAATGTTCTTCGTAAAAAGTTACACGCAAAAGTGGTATTAAAAATTTCATTTTCATTGAAAAACTCCTGTATGTTCGGTTTCTCTTTCTTAAGCATTTAGCATAATAATAATGTTATAATTTTACTTTTCAACATACCCGATCTTTTGTTCAAAACTTCTTTATGAATAGTATATAACAAAACCCAAGTAATTCTTCTACTGTCAATTAATCTCTTGATATGTTTGAATTTTTATTTTTTCTTCTCCAAAAAGATTGTTGTATCGACGAATACTATCATCATCATAACAAGCACCTTCTGAGCATAGCTTAGACATTATTCTTGATTAATTCTTGTCATATTTTTTCAATTTTAAATATAAGATTATTCCTATCATTATAAACTCGAACAATTATAATACCTTAAGAAGTTTATTAAAATAAGAACAGGCTAAACAAATGATATTGGAAGGATTGAGAGATATTTAAATAAAGAAAAAAATTACTTATAAAATCGATCAGGAAGAAAAAACTATTAAGAGCGTAGTTTTCACCAAAACTTATCAAGATCAAAGAAAAAAAAAAATCAAGTTGTTCCTAAAAAATAATTAATTTTGTGCTGATGACATCCTTAAATTCATTATCACTGACAAAACATTCGCTCGCATTTCTTTAATTAAAATCCATAGGCATGAGATTTTAATATCTGTTGTGGAAATCCTAGCTTTCTAAATCCTCGTCCGATTCTTCTAGCATCTTCAGACCAACAATAATCCAAAGTACAGATGAGGATGCCTCCTATCAGCTTATTTTGGCAAGTAGAAGATGTCAATATTAACTTTTTTGGAATGCCTTCCATTGATTTTCATTTCAATATTCTAAAGCTATTTGTAGATTGGTTAGCTTGATACTTTATATCGTGAAGATTTGATTTTCGTTGAATTGATGCAAGCAAACTTCATCGGAAAAATAAGAAATTCATTCATATAAAAAATAAATTCGGTTCGTTGTAATTGATTCATGCTATGATCCTCCAAAGTTTATGACAATATATTAATCATAGAAAGATGCCAATATAAATTTAAAATTATCAATTCGTCGGAATTCTCTTTACACCATCAATGTCAAGTGGTAAAAATTCACCCAATCTCATAGACGTAATGGATGACATTTTTTATTATTATTTTGAAAAAAGAGGTCTTATCAACCATTTATTCTGTAAAATAACGTTTCATATGTATCGTTATGTTTTTACAATATCTAAATAGTCATAATAATAAGATGTTCATTTTTCTATATATATAAATCAATAAATAGGCTTTTATTTGGTTGTAATTTCCCACATAAAAAAAACTTCTTAAAAAGTAATAACCACAAAAAATATATATAAGATTTTGGAACCCCAAATGGTTTTTAATTAACATATGAAGTTTGTTTCAGAGCCTTGCGTGCAAAGCGTGTTACCTTGATGAAAAAAGACATTAAACTTGCGAACCGTCTTCGTGGTAGTCGCGAGTTATTAACAGATTTGAATTATTATTTATGTATTAATATTTCATCATTTTAATTGAAAATTTTTTCGTCGTCGTAATCAATAATTCATCAAATATATAATAAAAATGAATATTTGATTATAATTTGTTCAAATTTTTGGCTCTCTACACAAGTATAGTAATAATTATTTTTTATGCGTTATATTATAAATAATAAATTATGGGTGTACAAAAAATAATTCCGATAAAAAAAAATGGAATCCTTCTAAATACAGTCGGCGCTCAATATACTATATAAATTCAGTTCGACATAACGATTTTTTAATATAAACTATATAATAATAATGGAGTTTTTTGCCAAAAGGCCAACTCTTCTTTATATCGAGCGGCAACTTGTAAACTTCATTAAACCATTCGTATATAGTAACACATACACAAAATATTCACTGCGGATGATGTCACGTAATAGTTTATGGTGTTACCATTAATAAGGTAAGTATTCCATTGTGTGTATGTGTGTATGTATATATATTCATTCTTTCAATTGTACATACATACTAATACATATGATTTTTACGTTATAATACCGCCAACTCTCTTTCGAAAAATTTATTTGGATAAAAGATGTGACGAATTGGTGAGTTGATAATCTTTAACTTAAATTGGAAAATCTAATTATTTAATATAAAAAAAAAATGGGTTTAATTTATTTTCTCAGCACTTTATCACGCCAAATGATGATAATACAATTTTAAACCGTTTAAATTAAACCAGATTCGGAACCAATTGTTTGATAAAGCGTCTTATTGAAAAAGAACAACATAGAGTTATGTCTTATTAACAACAGAGCCTAGGAATAAAACAAATTTGATGTTCTTAATAATGGTGGTGTTTCTTCGTCTCCCGCCGATCTGATGATAATAATGTTTTCTCGTTATTAGATCAAGATAAAAAACTCGCTCAAACTGGTATAGCAAGAATTATCTCGGATATTTTTTCTATTGATGGTCAAACTACTTGAAATTATCACATGGGCCATGCTGGAACAAAACCAGACAAAGTGAACATTAGTATTACCAAGAATTTCAGGATCAAAATTTAGTAATGTGATTATTAAAATCTCATCATTTGTTATCTTTGTTTTTTTCTTTGATATTAAGTGATTATATAGAATTACCTTCATGTAAAAATAGTTGAAATTAATTATTCAAAAGTATTTTGAAGAAAGAACAAGGTGAAAAATTGCTCCTTATATTTTCAAAATAAATGATATTCAGACATTGGAAACTTATCTAATAAAAGAAAAATAATAAATGGGACATGCTGCAACAAAACCAGACAAAGTGAACATTGGTATTACCAATATTTCAGGGTTCAAAGTTTAGTCATCACAATTACAATTTATTTTTTCTATAGTATATAGTGTTCATAAGTTAGGATTATCAAAGAGAATAAGTTTATTTAAAAATATGCAAAGATAAGTTGTTTAATAATACTGTAGCAAGAAAATAAAAAGATTAAAGGAAAAGTATATCAGATAATTTTTTGATAATTTTTTAAAAAGGAATAAAAAATAAGGATGTAAATTATGATATAAAGATTTTAAGTTAATATTTACAGTATAATAAAAATTTGAATTATTATTCATCTGAATTATTTGTAGTCTCTTAGTTTTAAATAAAATCCTCTTAATTACACTCAGTAGGCTTGGCATTAGAAACTCTTTGCTTCTTTTTCAATGTTTTTATGGAAGTAGGTAGCTTTGGTGTTGTTATAGAAGTAGGTAACCAGTCCTGTTGATATTGATCATAATCATTTCTCCTGAATCCAGCATTTTTAAATAATTGTGAAGATAGTGGTTTTGAATTTACAGTATTCAAGGTTCGTCTTACTACATTCTAATATTTGTAAACCTATATCAATTATAAACATATAAAATAAGTAATAAGCTTGACAAAAAATAATAGTCTAACCTCTATATTTAAAGCTGATGACAATATTGGTAAAATATTTGGAAATTTTTCTGGTGCATCTGGCACCTCCATTAACTCTCCACGTTGAAACCTACAGATATACCCTTTGGGTTATCTACATGCACAACCATCATCATCAAACCTATATTTAAGAATTATTAATTGTCAATAACAACTGATGAATCCTTGTTTACATGCAAATATAACATACCACTATGTACTACTCCCACTGCTTTTATTTCAGGGCACTTAACATTACCAACTTTTTTGATTAATTTTAACAACATGTCTTTTAGCATTTTGGGCAACTTAAGCCCTGCTTCTTGCATAAACTTAGCACCAAATTCATCTGTCCAATCCTTTCCAACCTCACCTGCTCCAAATTCATCTTTATTTCCATTGTTAATCGATCTGATTATAAAATCATTTCTACAACCAAGCTTCCTTCTCTCACCAAGTTTTCTTTTCTTGTTCTTTCTGGAAGCAGAAGCAATACTTGTACTCTCTCCCCTTGATTGTTAAAGGAAATTAAATTCCATTTTTTAAATAATAATGATAATGATAAATAATAATTACCTTACTACACACACTACATCTAAATCCCCAAATGCCTGATCAACTATAATATTCCTACATGAGAATTAAACCATGCCTCCAAATTTAAATTTTTGATATTACTATTTTCAATCTCTCTTACTCTGTAAAAATTTTTTTAGTTAGTTTTTTGTCAACAACACATGTACAATCAACAATGAAACACAATAAAAAGATTACTCAGAATCCATATAGTGCAAATAAAATATAATCCACATCATGATTCACATTAAGATCATAATTGCTTCCAAACTCAATTCTTTCAGAATCCCCCTAATTTCTTTTAGGTTTGTCTGCACAAAAGAAAAAGCTCAATAATTTCATTACCAATACACATACTTATATTAAGACCATTTTAAATGAAATATACTTTATTGATAAAACCACTCAAACATTAGTTACTTCTTCTGAAAGTTCGGATAATATTATAGGATTTTCACAAGACATCTCAAGGAGTTCTTCATTGGTAAAATGATTTTTTATTATTTTGTCATCAACACCTAATATGAATGAATGAATTGAATTAGAAACAAAATTGTGATTTAATAAATTTGTATTTCTAGCAATTGATTTTATAAGAATACTGACTGTTCAAATTCTAGATCTTGTCCTAATTTTAACAGTTCTTCTTCAATATATCGTCCAGAAGAAAGTCTCCACTAGGGTTTATATTCATGAATATCATAAGGGGGTCACACAGAGTCACACATTATTAAAATCAAGTATTTTTTGCTGTTTTAATAGTGTGTAACCCCCTTAATGATATTCATGATATTCATGAATAAAAACCCTAGTCTCCACATTCTTTCTTTTTTCATATTCTTAAATTTTTCTTCTATTTCTTGATGATTTGTTTGTTGTAGAGGAGGTGTCTATGTATATATAAATAAAACTTATGTTGATTTATCAAATATTAAAAACTGAAACCTACAAAAGAACTACCTTTATGCAGATTTCTTCACCATCATGATTTTCTTCATATTCATTGTCACTACTACACAAATGATTGTAATGTTAATATTAAACTAGAATGACACTGAGTGGTGTGATAACCACCATTCTTTTAATAAATGACACTTACCCATGAATAACATCTTCAATGTAATTTTGTTCTTGATTTCTTTTTCTTTTTGTTTTGGATTCAGTAGTCATTTTTTTTAAAAAACAAAAAATAAAATAATTGTTGATCAATTGACAAACATGTTAATTATTTATGTGATTGATTTTTTTTTTTTTTTGGAAAATAAATTATTTTCAAAGATGACAAAACACAGCTCTCCTAAAGAAGACATGTTAATAACTGACCAGAGGTACTCTTTTTTATTTGCATTGATGTATATATTTTTACTTTTATTTTATATAAATATTTTAATTGGAATCAAAAAACGGAGCAGATCTTGCTGGGTAATTATAAAGATTCTCATCAAGATGGTAAACAATTGGTATTTTGCTTTTTGTACTCATAATCAATAATAATATTATTATAATAATAAATACTTACAAGATGTCAAGGCAGCACATGACTTGAAAAAGAAACAATTTGAATACAGAACATTTTGATATGCAACATTTGATTATCAGAAGTTGGCAGGTGTTGAAGCACACATGCTGCCTTGAACACTTTACAGTCATTTTCTCATCTTCCTTGTGTACACAAGGCTAATCTGACTGAGTCACTCTCAATGATACAATGATGCAACAGAATTCCAGGGGAGGGGAGTTTGGCCCTGGAGTTTACTGAGACTGCATCAATCGTCAATGACATCCCACCTAATCTTCCTCACAGCACCCAGACCAGAAAAAGCTGAAAAGTTGCCTGCAATGATCCCACCTTTAGGATGGCTCTGTGACCAACATGTCACAACTCTGGAAGAATATTAAGAGAACCTGCAACTTGTTTCAAGTACAGGAGGTTGCAATTCAGAGCAGGGTTGGTAACCCTGAAATTGCATTTGGGCTCTGATGTCAAGAGGAAAGTTGTAAAATTGTAAACATTCAATGTTTAAAAGCGAAATAAGTAATTTAATTGTTGTAAAATTACAAAGTTATCTTTATTATCTTAAAAATGATGTCCTTTATATAATAAAATTACATAGATTGATATGATATAAATAAAATATAAATAATAATAAAAGATTGATAAAATATAAATAAAATAATCATAATAATTCTTATCAATCTATCCGGAAGATTTGTGGACATAGATAAATAGTAAATAATAAATAATAACTAAAGACACGAAATAATTGATGCTACAAATAATAATTAATTGTGTGTCACATTTCCAGATGTAAATATTATTGTACTACATAAGACATTGTATATGATTACGAAGTAAATTGTTACAAAAATAGTATTTGTTTTGTATAATCATTTTCATAAATTCTCTGTTTCTTTGATACTGACCAATTTATAATTTTGGGAGGGGATTAGTTGGTTTTTGCCCAATCAGTCCCCTGTCCTATAGATTAAAATTATCGCATGTTTATATACATCTTTGTCAGCAATATGACTACAAAGTGGAATTTTTTGCACTTTTTAATCTTTTGGAGAGGGCCAACAAGAAAAAAGTTATAAAATGGTCCAGATTTTGGTATGTTATATATAAATTAATCATTCCCAAATTTTCTGTTTCTTTAATTTTTATTTGATCAACTGAATTTGTTATTTAAATGGGGGTAGGGTTGTTGGTGAGTAGGTGTGAAGACAGCAACCCAAGACTCAAAACTCTGAATCCAGGGAAAATTTCAAACCAACAACCCAGGATGCAACCTCTTGAGTTAGAGGATTTTGAACCAGTTGCAGACACCAACTTTATTCTAGAGAGGGTGATAACACAAAGCAACCATCACACAAATGCTGGTCCTCTTCAGTGATCAATGCTCATATGGAAACAGTCAAGCCTGGTCTGAGGGAAAATAGGGAATGTTTTGTCCACTACATGAAAGCTTCTAATGTGTTGACAATTTTTTATCCATGAAAAAGAAAATTCCATGGATATGAAAGACTCGCAATTATGCATTTGTGATAGGAAAATTTAATTAAATCTGACACCTGCAATCAATATCAGATTTATTATTCACAAAAAAAAAATTTATTTTGTGAACCCCAAAGATCTGGGTAGACATGCATTGTTAAAAGTTTCATTTTTGCATGGTCTTAGTATTATTTATTACCTGGGTGATGCAATTGTTTGTTATGTCAATGATGATATCAAATGTATTGAATAATCATTGTGATGGATATGAGGACAAAGGAATTCACATATGAGGAAAGGATTAAATAAGCTAAGTCATGTTTATTTTTTATCTATATAATTAATTATATTTAAAAAATTATTATTTTATTTCACCTTTGTAATGGCATTAATTTCAATAATTCTGAAATTATTTGTTTCTTAGTGTTAATGATTGAATCAATCACAAAGTGATAGTCAGTTTAGATGGCTTTTTTAAAAAAAGGTTTAGTTGAATTAATGTAATTAAATGTTTTTTTTATTTATAATAATTATTTTTTTTGATATGTCAAACTCAATAATCATGTAGTTATCCGCAAAAAATATCAGCAAATTTCGTGAAACCTCAGAATATCCACAAATTTCTGTCATTTCACAAAAAAATATCTGCAAATTTTTGATATCATCAGTCATCCATGATTTATTAATTCTGATATCAATGATAATAATATTAATAGATATTAATAAAAAAGCATGAATAATGAAAATAAATTCTCTTTGCAAGGATTAGATTTAATGATTTCCTTCTTTAATTAATGAGTTCTTTCTTTAGCAGATATAAAAAAAATAACAAAATAAAAACTTTAGAAATTTTTATAAATAGGTATGATCTTTGACAGGAAAAGACTTTATTAATATAGTAACAATCTCATTTTGTAATTTCATTAATAATAATTATTAAAATAAAATAACTCTTGTAATCTTATATATATCTGCATACACTTTAACAAAGTTTGTCCTATAAATTGTTGTGCTTGCTTATATTGCCTAATCATTGATAATTTATATATACACAAATGTTAAAAATTATTGGTATTGGTGGAAAGAAAATAAGTTATACTATTGTAAAGTACTTATAAAATAACTTATAAAATGATTTTTGTCTTTAATTTCTTTCTCCTCCATAAAACCTCATGTATTTTCTGGAAACTCTCGATTTACTCTATCTTATCATACATGAATGTTTTTACTTGGAGAGTGAAAGCTGTTTAATAATAAATTTACATTTAATTTGTGGATATTTTTTTATGAAATGACAGTATTTTGTGGATATTTTTTGTGGATAACTACATGATTATTCAAACTCAGTCCAAAATCTATCATGTTTATATATTTAAAATTTCTTTTTTGATTAAAAAAAAAAATTCAAACATTTGTTTAATTTTTTTCAATTAGATTTTATTAGATCAAATGATACATTCAGCAAAAATCTCAGAAGACTACTGCGAGCATGCAATCTGAGTTTAATATAATAAGCCTTTTTATAGCAATAGTTTCTTCTACTAATGCCCCTTTTTATACCAATTTCCGAAGTCTTAACTTCTAGCTAGCTTTCTATTAGTGTTGGCCACTAACCGCCTTAAATCCAACATATTGCAGACAAATTCTGGTAGGTCTCCTCCGTTTTATCCTCTAGCTGCACATGGTATCTATAATGATGATAAGAAATAAAGAAATATATACAACTATGCTACTTGAGGCATCACACCAAGCAACACAATGAAATTAAAAAGTATCCTAACTAATAATTAAAGGTTGGCCAGACCATTAATCATAAGGAAGGCTTATGACACAGTTACAATCTTTAACTATGCAAAAATTTGTAATAAGGTAATATGAGTTTAATTTATTATTAACCAAAGGTTATACATGCAAGGTAATAATAATTAATTAATTAATTAATCAAGGTAGTAGTGTCAATGTAGTTATTATTCTCTAACTCAAGCAATTTCTAAGGGTTTAAATACATCTTGGAGTAATACAAATAACATGACCTTCTACATGATTTTATCCAATAAAATATACTAAAGCTGGATTATTAATTCATATAAATATTTATGTCAGCTGAATGATGATAATATAAACAAAATCATAAAATAGGTAATATGGCTAATATTATAGATAAGATAAGTGTTCTAAGAATTCCATCATCCAACGTCCCTTTGATTACGATACTCCGCGCAGCCTAAATATTTGGTCAATCATCCTATACCACGTGACTACCATAGTAATTTCGTTTTGATTGATTGTAATAAAGTAGGACTCTAGGCCAGTCCATATTTTACTATCTCACACTACATCGTGCATTAATTCTAAGATAAAAAAATCTGTTTTAATGTTTTAGTATAATCAACAATTTTCTTCAATTGTTTTTTTAGAAATAACAATAATTATCTTTTATATGTTTGTTTATCTGTTTTAGTTGATCAATAAATCTCATGTCTCAAGATAATTTATCTTATCCATTTTTAGTAATAATAAATAATTTAAACCAAACATAATTATTTTTCATGGAACCAGTCAAGGATTTTTATTTTCTCTTTTATATCAATTATTGAATATATATTTCTGATATTTATTTGCAGATCCACTCAAATTTAATTCTTTCCTGCCCACTTTGCTCATCATCACAGACCAATTTTAGAATCTCCAATTTTAAAATAAATAAAACCTACAAAGTGAACATAAAATTATATATATAGGGATAAGTGTATATATGAAAAGTAATAATAAATGCAATGGTTCTAATGGATATCAAAAAGCAATTGATTTTTTGGAAAAAGGTTGTGATTGTGGTTGTGGTTGTTCTTCAAGAATCCCCAAAGAAGGATTTGCAGAATTAAGGGAATCCTTTCAAGCTCTTTCCAAGTCTGAACAAGACATATTTTTAATGGCCCAACTTAAAGCCATGGATGGTGGATCAACAAGTACCAGCAGACGCCTTAAAAAGAAAACCAGATCTAATAAAAGAACTTTCTATCACTGAGATCACAATACACTCCTTTGTCAAGAAACTTATCTCAACATGTTAGGAATTGGTAGGACTTATTTTGAAAATATTAGAAATCATCTAATAAACAATGGTCTTCTAGCAAGAGTTCATGGTAATATTAAAAGCAAATCAAAAACGTATGTTAGATAAATTGGTGATTATGGATGGTGAATTTACAACTGATTTCTTCCAAAGAGTAGATTGGCGTGCACTTGTGAGTGATATAGCACCAAATTGTAGTAATGAAATAAAAGATGAGCCGAAGGATGGGGTTGAATTAGAACATTATTTGGATAAGGTGGAAGATGATACTGATGTTGATGCTGCAAAAATTTCAAGAAATGAATTTGAAATTGATATTCCAGATTTTTCAGAAGATTATGTAGCAACAGAATTATCTTCACCAATTAAAATTGATGGAACCAATGATGATAATCCTGATCATATAGACAATTATATGCTTCATTTTGTTGAAAGGGAATTAACATAAAAAAAATCATCCCACCACTTTATATCAATTTGTATTTTTTTTAACACTATTCCCTATTCCAAACCTAACTAAATTTGGTTAATTTAGAATATTTTAAATAATAATTATTCATTGGGCTAAAATTTTGTACATAGTGCAAGGATGCCCATTTAATTATTCGTATTAAATGCTTGCCAGCAATTCATATTATTACTATTACAGTATAATAATAATAATAAGCTGTAAATAAATCCAACACAAGACCTTAAAGTTGTAAAGGTAGCCGTGAATTTTATTACTACAGTTCAGAAGCTCTATAACAGAAACTTGGAAAATTTTAAATACAATGTCTGGATAGAAGAGTCAGACACCCTAAATGTATTAAATACATGAAAACATACATAATAAGTATATTAAAAAATTTATATCGGTTTATAGTTTAGGTTCTGAAGAGTATGTATTTAAAAATCTTGTGTTACTCAATTCCCTGGAACTTAAGCAATTAAAAATAAAAGAAACATCATTTTTGGAAAAAATTTTTGAAGATAAAATTTGACAATTTCTCTAAAGGCTATGTTTGATCTGAATGTGATACATGAACATTTTGGGCTCAATCATAACTATAATGAGCAGTAGCATCAACACTGCAATATTGTGTTCCAACCTTAGGGATAATTTTGGTTAACTAATTTAGTATTTTTATTATAACAACTTTTTTCTAATCTTGTCTTGGACAGATGTTCTTTAAATCTCTTGAGTGATTCTTTAGCTTCTTCCTCTTGGCGAGCATTATAATGCAAACCATTTTTAAAATGTTGGCAAGAATCACATAAGTCAGTCTTGGGACTCATAATTTGAATCTTTGGTGTCAATTGATGTCATAATTTTCTAAATGCATCATATTTCAAGGATTTCAATTTGCTATCTTCTTCTAGACCAAATAGAAAATCCCTGTGCACAGTTTTATAACTTATTTCAGCTGGTAAGAATACAATTGGTTTGGTTATTCTATTGTTACTTCTTCCTGGGCTTGGTAATCCATGGACTTAGCATAATTTTCTAGAAAATTTTTTATTATTTTAACAACATTTTTATCAATCACCATTTTAGTTTTCCATTGAGGCATCCTTTTGATGTTACCATGAATTCTTGGTAAAAGATGATTGTTTATTAGATGATTTCTGATATTTTAAAAATAAGTCCTGCCAATTCCTAACATATTGAGATAAGTTTCTTGACAAAGAGGTGTATTGTGACCCAGTAATAGAAAGTTCTTTTATTAGATCTGGTTTTCTTCTTAAGGCATCTACTAGTGCTTGTTGATCCACCATTCATTGCTGATCATTAAGAATATGTCTTGTTCTATTTTAGAAAGAGCTTGAAAAGTTTCTCTTAATTCTGCAAATTCCTCCTTGGGAATTCTTGAAGAGCAACTACCATTTACAACCTCTTTTTAAAAAAATCAATTGCTTTTTGATATTCATTAGAACCATTGTGATTACTTCTTTCCATATACCTATAACCCTATATATATTTTTTTTATGTTTACATTGTAGGTTTTTTAAATTTGAGATGAGAAAAGAGAGATCAACCAAAGAACAAAAATATTTAAAAGACAAAAAAATTAATAAATATTTGCAATATTTTATTTTCTTTAATATTAACACATGAAGTGTCAGTAAGAAATAAATACAACTATGGTACAATAAAAATTAAAATAGATCATGATACTTAAAATTATTGATCCATTATTGTTTGTTTATTCATAATATCCTTACAAATATAACAAGACACAATTGTCTATCTATTATTAACACCATATCATTATTTTAATAACTTATTCAATACAAAATATCATCAAATATTATTCTTATTATTATTCTATACCCTTATCAATCATTAATTAGTCTTTTGTTTACTGATATTATCCTAATGGAATGCAGTAAATAAGATAACTACAGGAAGTGGCAAAAACAAATTCAAATTGCCATATATACCTTATCTCTATTATTCATTAACTTCAACAATGAATGTTATTGGTAACCACTCTTTAAGTTAGAACAGGAATCTTAATCTTACCTTTTATTTTAAATTCTTTGAAATTTAAAATAAGCATCAAAATCATCTATAAAAATGCAAAAGTTTCATTCAACCTAGCAAAAGTTCGGGATCATTCTTTGGGATCATAATTAGAACAATAAATAAACATTAATATCCTGACCAAAACCTCCGACCTTTTTTCAAATATTATTTTTCCATTATTTCTATCATTGATTATACCTCAAACAACACAAAAGATCGGGATAACTTTCAGATTGATCTTGGAACATGTAATGGTGTGATTGGACAAGCTTTTGGTTCCATGCAATCACTGGCAATTTTTTTATTTTTTTTGATACAATTTATTATATATCTTGGTTAAACAAATAAAAATAAAATAAAAGACATGATATTGCTAATTTAATACTTTCCTCATGTGTGAATTCCTTTCTTCTCACATTCATCACAATGATTATACAAACAATTGCATCACCCATGCAGGAATGAAATTTTTTAAGTCTAAACAATAAATGCATGTCTACCCAGATCTCTAGGATTCACAATAAATAAATGAATGTATTATAATTAATAAATCTGATATTGACTACAGGTGCCAGATTTAATAAAAATTTTCCTATCACAAACATGTAGGACTGTGCAATTAAGCACAATTTAGCAATGTGGAAATTTTCTTTTCCACAAATGAAACAGTCCTAACATATTGGAAGACTTTTTCAAGGTGGGCAAAAAACTTTCCATATCTTCTCCTCAAACCAGGTTTGTCTGTTACCATATGAGCTTTGATTGTTGATGAGAACAAAAACTACTAAATTTTGAGCCCTGAATTCTTGGTAATGCAAATGTTCAGTATGCCTATATATTACATATATAAAAGTATCCTCAATAATTTGATAAAATTTTATAAACTGTTAAAAATGCAGCTTGGGCTTTAAGCTTTATTTTTTTCATTCCCTATTTTGATTTTCAAAGATCATCAATATTCTGTGTATATAAAATTAATGAAAAAAATAATATAGATTAAATGACTGAAAACAAGATGGGCTTTACATTTCTTCAATAATTGGACTAGTTTTGATCTAATTCATGATTGCAATATTTACATTTAGCATGACTTTGTTGTTTCCAAATTTTCCAAATTTTAGGTCTCACACAAATCTCTTGATTTGGTTAGAATAGTATTTATGGCAGTATCCAATTATTTAATTCTTAATTACACTCTCTTTATTTTATGGCAGCAATAGCACTTAAGCTATTAATCCATTGTGGAGCAAGTTTTGTTACTTCCCATCCGGTAATGTTTTCTCTAGAGTCATTTGTTATCTGCCTGAGCTGGCACATCTCAATTATTATTTATAATATCCTAAGTATCCACCTAGATACTTTCTATGCTTATCAATTATATTTATGGCTCAGTTTCTTAACTGGCCACACCTATCTAGGGTTTCCACTTCTTAGGCATTGGCCTAATCTAAATCAAATAAAGAAAATAATAAAAAATATACACACAACTATACTTATCAAAGGCGTCCTCCTGGTAAGATAGTATTTAGTTAATCAGTTAGGTAAGTCTTAGAGCGAAAGGTTTATTTGGTTTTGGAAGTAGGTGAATTATTCCACTGGCAAGAGTTTTAATTAACAGATATTTATGTCTGTATTTATTATTAAGATATTATTGTTATTACAAGATAAAGTATAAGTTAAAACTAACTTAAGATTACATGAAAGAGAAATTACAACATATTTATACATGTTAAAGGTTCTATCATCTAGTTCTCTGATTTCTTTGAAATCCTAAATTATACTAATTAATATTTTCCTTAAACATTCTTTAAATCTTCCATGTAGAATTATTTTCAAGTAATTTCTAGTCAATGCGAGTCATGTAAAATTCTTTCATTTAAATATTATTCTGAGATTTGGTAATCTGTTACACTTTAGAATGTTGGAATATTTATATCTCCATTATTTGGGATATTTTCTGAGAGCTATTTATTTTATTGGTGTGCCATTTTAATCAGTTTAACATTTAATAAATTAGACTGGTTTATTTCTTGTTGAGTTATTCCATGATAATCACTTCCAAGTTTTCACTTTGTGATTAGGGTTTTTATTCATGAATATGATGAATATCATTAAGGGGGTTACACACTATTAAACAGCAAAAAATCCCTTAAAAACATGATTTTAATAGCATGGTGGACATTCGAATGTTGCACCAATTTTTTATGCCATGTAATGTAATTTTTAAAGTAAAAAACTGTGTGCTCAATTAAAAAGCATGGTGGACATTCTTTGTTGTCACATTTGTGCAACGATCAACAAAACAATTTTATCACTTAATGTAACGCAAAATTAATTATTTTTGATTGGCTAAATCAAATAAATATAATTTTTATTAAGGGTAGAGTATACGTAACACAAATTTTACTATGATACAGTGGATAATTTTTTGGCTGCCGATCATTAAAATATTAATATTAATGTATATAGTCGTAATAACATTCATTATATAATAGTAATATCAGGGTAGAAAAATATATTTTATTTGTAATATCACCTATTGAAAGCAGGTGATGAGAGAATGAAAATTATAAGTCCAGTAATTAACACTAAACAATAAATGAAAACATTTACTATAACATTGTACTTTTCTTCCACATCCTTTACATCATTTAGCAAACAAATAAATAAACAGGTTATATTTTGCTGCTCTTTCTCATTTCCTTGTTTAAAGATAAAATTATAATGTTAACACTTTAATTCTCAATATTATATTAATTATATTAATTATCTTCACCAAGTAAAATTATAGGAAGCACTCACATGTTTAAAAGTAAAAAGAAAATTTGATATAACTTCCATGAAGAATAAGCAGAACAAATAGTATATGTAGAATAGATAGAGATATATTGTTGTCTTGTTA